AAGGCAGACGCTTAACGACTGAGGCACCCAGGCGCCCCTCCCCCATGCTCTTTTCTTGCCACAATCCATTTAGGCCACAATTTACTTAAAATTTTTATTTTTCCAAAATTCTTCTCCTGGTTGTCAAAATAGAACATGCTCACTGTATAATATTTATAGTATAGGACCAGGTCAAAAGAGTGAAAATAAAAATCACCCATCATTTAACCATCCAGAGATAACCACTACTAACATTTTGCTTTTTTTCCTTCCCATCGTACTCATCACCACATACGTGTGAATTTTTAGAGTATGTATGAGATCAAACGAATCGTATGATTTGACATATTTCTTTTCCACTTCAGAGATATGTGAAGAATAGAGCTGTAGGCAGGACAGGGTGTACTTTGCTGGTGTCGGACATTAGGCTGCTTGCTACCAGCACCCTACTATAAACAATGCCATGAGGAACATCCTCACGCCAGCACGCTCGGTCCCGCTGAGAGACTCAACGGTGAGCTGGGGCGGGGGGGGTGGCAAAGGAGAAAGGGCAAGGCCTACTGCCTACCAGGTGAGCTGTCCCGGGGGGGTGTCCCGCCCCCTGGCTTTGCTGACGTTGTCCAGTTACTCCTGGGTGCTGGTCCTCATCACTGCTCTCTGCAGAGAACAAACACAAGCTGTAGGAGAACCTCAGTCTGGAACGAGCCTGAAATACATTGGTTCTGGTGTTCTCAGAATTTAGCCTATATGAGGAGGTCTGGAGGAAAGAGAGGTCTTTGGGGGATGGGAGGGGTAGGAGATCTGCCATAAACTTTCTGTGTGATCTTGAACAAATCATTTAATATTTCCACTGCTGCTTTCATGAAGATAAGACAAGGTCATCCGAGGTATCGTATTACAAGCACACGGCTGTGTCATCTCTGTGTCCCCATATCATGCTGACTCTGTTTGTTCCCACCTGGAAGGCCCTTCCCATTTGTCTCCTTTATCTTGAAGATTAAGGGGTAGGAAGTCTTTTCCAGCTGCCATCTTGACCCTCCCTCGTCTGGGGTTACTATAGTATCAACTGTCTGTACTTGACACGGTGGGCATGAGGACCAGTGGTGATGGTGTTCATGTCTCCAACCATTTGAGCTCCTGAAGGACAAGGCCTGGGTCCTCACTCATCTAAAGGTGCCTGGAGGAGGAGCTTGATCAAGACTTGAGGAATGACAGACTTATTTGCACTCTTGGACAGTCAGCATTGCAGGAAGTTCCTGGTTTCAGGTCCAGAGGACTCCCTTTTCCTTAGGATGACCAAGATGGCTCCCACCAGGGCTAATGTCCCTCAGTGTGCTTGGGAAACTCCTACTCAATCGTGGATAAATTTCAAATTTCCAGGAAGCCAGTTAACTGCTTTAAAATCAGTGCATGTGATCTCAGCTAGATACAGAGAAAAAGGTATCAGGAAGTACATCAAGATTACAACAGCAGTATTTATCTCAGAAGATAGGATTTTGGTTGGCTTCTATTTTCTTCTTTTCTGTTTTTATAAATATTAATCAGTGTTAAAAAAAAAAAAAAAAGGCTTTTTCGGGTGCCTGGTAGCTCAGTGTCTGCCTTCGGCTCAGGTCATGATCCCAGAGTCCTGGGATCAAGTTCCGGATCAGGAGTCCTTGCTCAGTGCGGAGACTGCTTCACCCTCTGCCTGCCACTCTCCCTGCTTGTGGGCTCTCTCTCTCTCTCTCGTGCTTGCTCAAATATAAATAAAAATCTTTAAAATAAAAGGCTTTTTCATTGCATTTTGCAAAATATCAAATACAGAAAATGAAAGCAAAAATTACTCCAAATTCTATCTGCCTCCATCAACATACAAATGAACATTATATTTTAGCTTTCTCTATGGTTTATTCATAATATATAACTTTTTTTAAAGATTTTATTTATTTATTTTGACAGAGAGAGACACAGCAAGAGAGGGAACATAAGCAGGGGGAGTGGGAGAGGGAGAAGCAGGCTTCCCGCTGAGCAGGGAACCTGACATGAGGCTTGATCCCAGGACCCCAGAATCATGACCCAAGCGGAAGGCAGACGCTTAAGGACTGAGCCACCCAGGCGCCCCTTATATAACTTTTTTTAAGTAGGCTCCATGCCCAGCATGGAGCTCAATGTGGGACTTGAACTCACGACCCTGAAATCAAGACCTGAGCTGAGATCAAGAGTATTTTTTATAAAAGGCATTATAGAATTATATGTTGTCTAAAACGAGGACAACTTTTGTATGTGCACTCTAATTCAGTTACTTAAAAAATTAACCCTGGCAGAAGGAGTCACAGTTTGTTGCTGGTGCCCCCAGTATCCATCCCAGAGCCTGGCACATAGCTGGTGCTCAATAAATATTTATTGAATCAGTGTAAGGAAACACACTAATACGTGTTTAGTGGTTATATCTGGGTGACAGAGCAAAGGGTGATTTTCTTATTCTTTCTACTTCCTTATATACTCCACATTTTCTACAGTGTTCTTATGTGTAATCTTTCACAATAAAAAGTTTGTTTTGTTTTGTTTTGCTGAGAGAGAGAGAGAGTGCACATGAGCAGGGGGAGGGACAGAGGGAGAGGGACAATTTTAAGCAGGCTCTGTGCTCAGCGCAGAGCCTCACATGGGGCTTAATCTCACGACCCTGAGATCATGACCTGAGCTGAAATCAAGAATTGGCCGCCCGACTGACTGAGCCACCCAGGCACCTCTCACAATAAAAAGTTTTAATTAAAAAATAACAGGATACAGTAAAAACAAAAAGAAATATAGGGAGAGCAGTACTGGATGCTAGAGTATGAGTTCGAGTCCTGAGTGTGGAGGAGGGCTGGGGCTGCAGTGAGTTACCCAACCAGGCTTGGGGCCTTGGGAGCCATCTAAGCCCAAAGAATGGGCAGGGTCTGAGTTCTAGCAGCAGGCCAACCCATTGTGGATCAGAGATTTGAATCCTGATACCAGTATGTCTCTGTGCTTCTGTTGATTTTCTTGCTGTTTTTTCTTGGTGTTCTGTTTTGCTAACTACAGGTAGTCCTCCTATGTGTGCTGTGGAGACCTGAGGGAAGGGGCTCATAGCCACACTTGGGGGAGAACATTTGTAGGGGAGCAGCGCCCCTGAGGGTCAACCACAATTGGAAGACAGAATGTCACCTCCCACCCAGGGAGGAGAAACAAAAGGACAGGCAAGAGCCCCCTTGCACCTGGAAGCTCTTCTTCCAGGGCTAACCCTAACAGCGGTTGGGTTTATATGGTCCACTCTTGAACAATACGGGTTTGAACTGCACGGGTCCACTTACACGCAGATTTGTCACCTCACTGTGCTATAAATGTATTTTCTCTTCCTTTTCTTAATAACTTTTTATTTTCTAGCATACTTTATTGTAAGAATACAATATATCATACATACAAGATACAGAATATGTAGCAATCACTGTTTATGTTTTCGGTAAGGCTTCCAGTCAACAGAAGGCTTTAGTAGTTGGGGGGAGTCAAAAGTTATATGCAGATTTTCAACTGCGTGGGGAGTCAGGGTCCCTAGACCCCATGTTGTTCAAGGGTCAATTGTACTTTTTAATAAGGGCAGTGGCAGGGTACCTGGGTGGCTCCGTCGGTCAAGCGTCTGCCTTTGGCTTGAGTCATGATCCTAGAGTCCTGGGATCAAGCCCCATATTAGGTTCCCTGATCAGCAGGGGGGTCTTCTTCTGTCTCTTCCTCTGCCCCTCCCCCTGCTTGAGCTCTCTGTCTCTCCCTCTCTCTCTCTCTCAAAGAAATAAATAAAATCTTTAAAAAAAAAAAAAATAAGGGCAGTGGCTTCCTCTCCAGTCTCCTGAGGACTACAAATAAACCCACTGGACCCACCAATCACTCACTCTCCTCTGTCTGGAGAAATAAGCATAGATTTTGTAGTATTGAGCTTCAGTCTCATCATTTGCAAAGTGAGGATGTGAGGCCAGGGCTTTGCAAGCATTTTTTAGGATTTAGCCTGAGAATTCTTCCCCCAAATAAAACCTCAGGCCCAAGCCCACTCCGTAAAGCAAATCTTAGTGCAGGCATTCTGGTGAAAGAGTAGACCAGAGCCCACCCCTTAGGCTCCCCAGTCCCGGAAAGACCTCCAGGGATCCCAAGTTGGTTACTGAGCCCTCTGACAGCAGGTCAGCCTCCCCGTGCCTCAGTTTCTTCACCTGTAAAATGGGAATAATAATAGCACCTTCCTCGATGGGTCTCTATGAGAATGAACTTAATTATTACATGTAAAGTGCTTGGAACAGTACATGGCCCATAGTAAGTGCTCGATAAATGCCCGGCATGGCGCTGCTGGTGCTATCCATTCAGCCCAACACTTTGAATTAAGAGAATAAAAATGAAAAGGACATTCTGCTTTCTATTGGAGAATGATATGGCGATTTGTAATCAAGGCCCAAGGGGAGATACTCATTTCCTGTTAACCCACTGAAGGACCCGTGGAGGATGGATCCCGAGGACACGATTTGTGCCAAAAATTCAAAGAGTAAAAACCTTTGAGCAAGGTTGCTTACGAGCATGGTAAACTGGTGGAAGGTTGGAGGATAATCTTTTTTTCTTTTTTTCTTTTTATTTACATATAATGTATTATTTGTTTCAGGGGTACAGGTCTGTGAGTCATCAGTCTTACACAATTCACGGCGCTCATCATAGCACATGCCCTCCCCAGTGTCCCTCACCAGCCACCCCATTCCTCCCGCCCCCCTCCACTCCAGCAACCCTCAGTTTGTTTCCTGAGATTAAGAGTCTCTTATGGTTTGTCTCCCTCTCTGGTTTTGTCTTGTTTCATTTTTCCCTCTCTTCCCCTATGATCCTCTGTCTTGTTTCTCAAATGCCTCGTATCAGTGAGATCATATGATAATTGTCTTTCTCTGATTGGCTTATTTTGCTTAGCATAATACCCTCTAGTTCCATCTAGGTTGTTGCAAATGGCAATATTTCAATTTTTTGATGGCTGCATAATATTCCAATGTATATATATACCACATCTTCTTTATCCATTCATCTGTCGATGGACGTCTGGGCTCTTTCCATAGTTTGGCTATTGTGGACATTGCTGCTATAAACATTGGGGTGCACCGTTGGGGGATAATCTTAACAGTTGTTTTTTAGAGCTTTTACTACGTGCTGGGTGCTAAGACTTGACAAGTGTAAAGAATGTAATCCTCACAATAACCTCATGAGGTAGTAACTTCTGTTATCATCCCCAACCTCCAGATGAGGACCCCAAGGCATATAGGGTTTAGCAATTTACCCAAGGACACATAGCTTGTGAGTGTCAAAAAAAGGATTTGGACCTAGGCAGGCTGCTTGAGGAGACAGATGCATTGAGTTCAACACCAAACTGCTCCTGATAAACCTCAATGTTACTTTACAGGAGATGCAGCCGCTTGAGGGACCTTTTGCTAAGCATGAAAATTAGCTGCCAAGATATTATGGAATAACCAATATAGGGAGAGCAGTACTGGATGCTAGAGTATGAGTTCGAGTCCTGAGTGTGGAGGAGGGCTGGGGCTGCAGTGAGTTACCCAACCAGGATGG